ACATTTATATGCCACCCATCTCCCCCCCCAAATAAATGTTTTTATATGTTAACTGCTTTATAATTTTATTGTACACCATCCAGAGTCACTTTTTTGTGAGATGGGTGGCCATTAAATTTGATAAATAAATAAAAAACAAAGGAACTTATTTTGCTTTATTTATCAGGAGAAACCATTCAGGAATAATCATGTAAAATACCTGGTTCACTTCTTCATTCCAACTTGAACTTCATCAACATTATTTGTCAAAGTCACAGTAGATACCAGAGGTCACTTCTAAAATTTCAGCAAAAGTGCAATTATATCAATATTTCCATTCTGTCTTGTCTTTCTATGCAATAGAAATCTCTTCTGTATATTTGGGGGAGTGCAGCTGATCAGGTGTAGAATCAGCCCCCATTTCTCATGTTTGAAAAATTCCATGTCTATTGCTGTCTTAAAACTCAATTGATGGCACTACAGATGTTCAAACTGAATACAGGCAGAGCAACAAAGGAACCCACTGATTCAGCAGTGGGAACAAATTGAGAGGGAGAGAAAAAAATGTCACCATGCTAAGCAACTCCCAGGGCATTTGCCTTTCTTTTCTTTTTTTTTTACTTTGATTCCTTATCACCTCAAACACTGAGCACAGGTGGGAAAATTCTCTTGTGTTTGACAGTTGGTTGAACAAAGTCAGTGATAATTAACTCCAAATCAGCATCTTTGGCTCCACTGAAATCATAGTTTGCTCTTGCGCTTTGCAGATGGCACAGCAGTTCTCTACAATGAGTAATTAAGGGGGGGGGGTGTTTTTATTTTGTTTGCTTGTTTGTTCTTTGCTACTCCTTCTCTTTCTTTGGGAAAATGTGGCCTGGATACTTCCCTTTTCATCACTTGAACTTATTTTCAACCGTTAAAAATTGCATATAAAAAAGACAGCATAGCAGCTGGGCCTTACGTAAATTAATTCTTTATAAAAGAGCAATTTTTTTCACTTGGAATAACACAATGTTGTTTTTCTAGCACAAAATGTCTGTGTGTGTTTTTTTTAAGAATCTTATGTCATCAGGCCAATGTTGCAAGAGGTCCTCTGTCTCTTCTCTTTCTACCTTTTCACCTTAAGATAATCATGCACTGCCAGGAGCTACTCTAAAGGAGCTTTTAACTGAGGGACTATTACACTGTTTATTTTCTTATTTGGGGATCAGTACTTTCTGGCTCACCATTTGGACGAGAAAAGCTCAAATGAAACATTAAAATGTAGCAACAGTGGGTAGCAGTTGAGTCACAAAAACTTCCATTTTTGAGAGCTGGAAAAAAATTACCTCAGACAAGTATTAATGAAGATGAGAACATTTGGAAGCAATCATCCACTTTTACAAAGGAGAAAATGCAACCCCCAGCATAAGGATGAGCAAGATGTGGCTCCTAGTGATATTAACCAGCATGGCCAGTGGTAAGAAATGATGGGAACTGCAATCTTGCAATCTGGAGGAACAATAGATTTTCCCTCCCTTCTGGAGCACCAGTACACTAATTCTAAATATCCTAATTAAGGACAGAGTAGGAAAGCAGAAGGAAAATAGTATTTGCAAAATATGAGATAGAGGTACCACTAGAAAAACATCAAGTGAAAACATACTTCTTGTGAAACTGCCAAGTATGGGGGAAGAAGTGACAAAGTTAATATGAACATAGAGCCAGCATATGCGCCTCTATAACAGCAGCATTTCTGGTCTTCTGCATAAATAAGCAAGAAGAGAAGTTCAGATTATAATATAAGGATAACTGGGTAGTAAAAAACAAACAAACAAACCAGATGCTGCTATAGGTTTTCTCCTGTAACAAAGCCATGGAGTGCTCTTTGTCACATATGCTCTGAAGAATACACTTCTGCTCCCAGACCTGAATATCTGTCTTATTATTATTGGAATAACACAATAATAGTAGAAAGAACAAATGAAAAGAATCACAGCTTTAACTGATGTCCTTTGGAAATTTGAACTCTATCCAGAAACTTAGGAATAATCTAAGCAATGTCTTAAGATATAATATGTGTTTAGCAACAGGTTTGGTTTGGTTTGGTTTGGTTTGGTTTGGTTTGGTTTGGTTTGGCAAATCCACAGCTGATATGACTGAAATATTTAGTGCTTGTAAAATTTTGTTTCATCTTCTATTCTGCCTGCTCCAATAAATATAGGGATGATTTTGTGAGTTCTACCCATTTTGATTGTTAGAACTCTATGTTTTGTAATTGTTTCCAATTCTTTTTCCTCCATTCTACTGTCTCTGGGTTGTGAAGGACAACTAACCTTCTCCTTACTTATGCGATACTGAAATACATATTAGGCAGGGCAGACAATCTGAAGCTGCCTGATAACCCGGGAGGCGAAGGAGACAGATGACAAAAGCAAGGTTGTTGTCTTTTCTGTGGTGTGGAGTCGATATATGGATACAGTAAAAAACAAAACAAAAAACATTATTTATGTTAGAAGGTGCTAGTATCAGGAGAAAGGGCAGGCTTGGGGTCTCTTCGGAAGAGCAAAATGTAGACTGGCAGGTCAACCCATAGTAAGGTCACCTCATGTTGTTATTAGATCCTACATTCCTGCAAGAAAGGTTGGGCTATAATTTACACTGCTTTCGTAAGTCCTATGTATCATTTCCAGAGGGTATCTAACCTGTAACCTTGTGGGTCTTGAAGCTCTATTGTATTCCTTTGATGAGGAGCCCAGTGATCATTGTAGATGTGTGTGCCAATTCAAGGTACTTTGTTGCATCTGTCTGCAATCACTTTGGTTCCCAATTTAATTGGATATTTTTTTCCAGAAATCTCTCTCTATTTTTTTTCCTTTTCAATTATTCTTATATCCGGTGTGTTGTATTCTAGATAGTGATCACTTTGCAAAACTCACTTAAATGTTATTATCATTTTCAACAACTTTTTTATTAATTTTGGAATTATATCACATTCAGGAAAATTTAAAATTATAAAATTATAATCTTTGCTTGCCTTGATGTAATCATTTAATCCATGTTTGTTGTCTTCAACTGATTATTACTCTGCTACTGCTAATAATAAATTGCCTTAAACTGGTAATTGATAACTATGTGACATATTAACCTTCCTATGATAATCAGCTTAAGTTCCTTTCATCATTTGACTGTTTGGACTGAATACAACCACCTCAGTGATGAATAATATTTCTTCAAACTGTTAGAACTTGCATCATCTCATAGTTCGTACTGTAAATAGCTCACCATCTGAGACTGAAAACATATTTTACTCCCTGAAGAAACACACCACACTTAGAGCTCATATTGTGGATTTATTTCTTCCTCTGCAGGAATAAATTGGCCAGAGAAAGATGTGGACTAGTTGTAAAGTTAGAATATTAGTAAATTCTGCTGTGTCTAATCTGTATCTAATATAATGATCAATGATGCACTGAAATGAAAATTTGGCTGAAATGTGCTTCAGTGTGCTGTAATCAACAGCAACTATGATTAATGTCCAAATATTACAAATAACATTATATCACAGTTATTGCTGTTAGTCTTCAGTATCATACCATGTTAATAATTGGTTTGCATGGTTTTGTTTATTTTTTTTTCCTCCCCCTTCAGAATCTTTATCTTAGAAGATAACAGTCTGAAGATATATAATATTTCCAAATCTGATGCAGGAGTATACAGCTGCATAGCAATGAATCAATTTGGAGTTGCAAGGAATTCAGGAAACTTAATTGTGAAAGGTACTTTCTTGTCTTTATTTGTATTATATGCATATTGGAAATCCACATGCATGTTTTATTAACCATGCTGAGATGTCAGAGAATGTAGTACTCTGTGAATGTGGTTTGAAACTTATTTTCTTAGCAGGACAAGGATGTGGAGATGCCTGTGGCAACCCAGAGGGTGCCTGGCCAAGGTGCAGGCAATACCTGTGCTTTGATACCATTCTTAGAGGGAGATGCAGACAACAAATTCAAAATTAGTACCCAAGCTTCAGACTGGATGTATTTATTTATTGATTGATTTATATTTCAAATTTAGATCATGAAGCATTTCAAGGAAATGGCTGTTTTGCAAAAGAAGCTCTAAGGGGTAGGAAGATATTGAGAGATTATACAACCCTTGTTCAGTCTCAGAAATCAAAATTGTGCAAATGTGTCTTCCTGAAACTCCAGATTTTCAGGCACATATATCATCCATCCATCCATCCATCCATGCCGCCCATCTCACTTATTTATTTATATAGCCGCCGATCTCACACAAAGTGACGTTGGTACATTTGGTACCTGTCTAGAATATAACCTAGGATATTTTACCTGATCAAAGTGAGAACAATAATTTATTTAAAGAAAATTTCATTGGAAAATTAATTTTTCAGTGGGCCAGGCAGAGAGACACATTGGTGTATGTGTATTGGTCAAAATGATCAAGTTTCAGGCAAAAGTAAGTGAAGGAACCATTGAGATATTCTAAGCAACATTAAGCCAAACATCCTAGTTACTGAGCCAGCACTTGATTCCATCTTACCCCCTATAAATGTGGCTAAGTCATGAGGTTTATCTAAAGCTAGTTGAGAAACATGGAGCAGCCACCATTTTCAGGTATCAGGAACCAGTATCTGAACTCATGACCATCCTTTGTTTTAAGTTCCAGTTTCTGCCAACAAAATGGCAATTGTTCTAGATTCATGCAGCATGATTAGTCTTGGGAAAATCTCAGAATTAGATTAAAGGGCCACACAAGAATAGAAAAAAAAATGGCACTGAGTGGCTTCATTTACTTACTAAACCATAGTCTCATACCTCTTAAAT